TTCTTCACTTAATCGCGATTAAAATTGGAACTAAAACTGCTGATTTTATTACAAATTTGGTAGCGCAAAATGCAAAGACGGTGTCTATTTAGTACTAGAATAATTATCACATCTCGATTCTAAACGTAGAATTCAATAAAAAAATTAAATCAATAAATCAACTATTCCAAAATTCCAAATAACTTCCTTTGCAGCTAAAATCAATAAGATTTCGTGAAATAATTGGCAATTTCTTGTGAATATGAAATGTAAAGTTTTACTCATTAATATCTGTATGGTACACGACAAAACTTCTCTAAGTATTAAAATTCCTATACCGCCTAAAACGGGAGAAGTTTCAATTTAGTAGAAATAATTGTTTCTGGGCAGAAAGATCTATTGGGTCGATAGCCTTTTGTTCGAAGATTGTTTCTTTAATTCTTTTAAAACCACACATAATTAAAGTGTACTCACTTTTTATAGTTTTCTTATGTAAAAGTGTTTATATGAAAGTTAGTTTTACGTTTTATTGACCGAAATATTGCAAGGACAAATAATTCTATATTTTTTTTAAATTGAAATTAGATGTAAATGAGTTTTTTCTAATTAACTATATTATTTATAACTAATGTTGAAATTAGGTTCAAAAGATCGCTGCTCAAAATTACAGAAATGTCGATAGATATCGGTAGCTGGTGTAAATATGTACTTTTTAAAGCTAGTTTTACGTTAATTTGCTGCAGAACAAATGCAACAGTGCAAATATTTTCCGTTTAGTGGAAATATTTTCGACGAGTCTGAAGTAGAAATTGTTTGTAAATGTTTTTTCTCAATGTAATCGCTAACTGTAAAATTACCCGTAAGTGATACAACGCAAAATACAAACAAAAGTTGAAAAAGTTACCAAAACTTTCAAAAAATTGTTGAAAATTGCCTGTCGACGACTGGAAATCGAGAAATTTGGCATGTAGATCAAATTTTGTCATACAAAATCCAAGCAAAAGCGACCGAATGCCTGTGAAAAAATTAATGCCAAACTGCGGCCCACTGAAACTAAATCGGAAACCTAAATATTTAAAAATTGTCTAAAATTGCCTGAAGATAACTAGAATTCGAAACTTTGCTTACTTATAGAAGTGACTTTGTCCTACCAAACGCATGGAATTGACGTTCATACTTCGCACGTTGCTGAAGCAGGAACATTCGAGATTACAATCTTCTGTACAATCCATGTTATTTATTTTGCAAAATGCAGTTTTGGACACATTTTGATCTCAAAGTTGTTGCGGTAAAAGTTGACATTATTTCGACTACAACTATCTGTGTTTGTGAGTTGAAGTACAAAAACTATAACTTTATATTATAAGCTTTTCTGTATAATATTTGCGATTAAATTGCGAAAATGCGAAATTAAAAATTAAAATTTTGCATTAATTAATCTAAAATTAAAAAATCTAAACGATTAAAAAGCCACAAAACTAGCAAACGACGCGAATAACTTTACACCAATAGACGAACAAATCCTCCATCTCAAAACAAAATTAAACCTTCAAGAAGTGGCTAATTCTGCGCCTCACACTTACGAAACACCAGGAAGAAAATTAAAAATGCTAATTTGTCAAATTAGCCTCATCTCCAATTGTTCTTTATAAATCAACCTTTCATAATGTTTTGTTTTTATTTTTAGGAAATTTTCGTATTGAAAGACTTTGAGATTACCAAGCCAGAACTTCAAATTCCTCCAATATTTGGACAATTGAGGGCAATATTGAATATTTACGATAAAAACGAAAACCACGTGTTTTGTGCATCTATAGAGTTGGAAGTATCTGATGAATGAATCATAAATCACACATCACAATAAAATATATATTGATTTGTATTATACTAGAAGTTTTCCACCCCTTTTATTTATAGTTCCCAAAAATACCCAGCAAGTGCTGGGCTCTTAATCAGGTTTTGGTGAAGGTTAATTACATCTATAAAAAGTTAAAGTTTTAATTGCCCAAAACCGATGGTAAATCTATCCAATTTGGGAAAACAATAAGTTTCTCATAATTATGCACTACGTTTCCAGAAGAATTCCTGAGTAAATGGGAACAGACAGAACCATTTCAGCTGCTTCCCAGACTCACAAGTGGCTTTCCCTTACTCATAAATTTAGTCTTGAATCTATTGAAAAAAAATATCCACAAAATATCAAGCAACAAAAACTGTCTTCTAATTACTTCACGGATTTCTCTCATTGTTAATTAATTATGGAAACGTTAACAAGCCAAGAATTAAACCCGCTGCTTGCTTGTTTTATTTTGTGTTAAAAGTCAGAATGCAAAATACACCAAACGAACTCACCGCCCCTTGAGAAAGCTTTAAACGGCATAAAAAATGCAAATTTATGAAAATGACCCAAAATTAGCAACAGCAGGAAATAAATGATTACATTACATTTAAGCGCGATTTTCTCTAAAAGTGCCAGCACCAAATAGAGTAAAACCAGTAGTTTCTAGTCAAACAATTGAGTTGATTAAATGCGGGCATTCAGTAATAACTCAACCGGGGCATGGTTTCTGTATACTTATGGGAAAGTAATCCAAATATCCAAGACATGTTTGTGACCTATCGAGAGATTAATCGTTTCGAAATTAAACTTGAGTCAGTTATAATTCTCATTGTTATTTATTTTTTCACGTTGTCGGACGACATATTTATGAATTAAATGTGCTTTATCGGCCAAATAATTACACTTTGAATCAATGGCCCTCTGTGGGAATGAATTCACTAATTAACATGTGGCTTTCTAAATTTAAAGCTTCCAAACAGCGGTGGTTTTTTGTGCAACTTTTCAAGTGTCAAGTTCAAGAAATATTATGTAAGATTTCAGCTACCTCTAAGAGAAAGAAGCATCTATAATTTACATTTGAATACATTTCTGATACCATTCCCAAACCTTAATTCCCATGATGAATAAAGTAAATGATTATATTGTCTCTTATTAACGCACTTTGGCTCTACAAGTTGGTGCTCTTAAAGAATGCATTTATAGACTTTATGCACCAATTGATACGTTATTAAAATGTGTCTGAACAGACGCTGGGTTTGGTTTAATACATAAAAGCTTAGAAGGCTGTGCTTTTAAAAAGCAATTTCAACAATTTATTAACATGGAAAGATCTCAATAGGATTAAAAAATTAAAACAGTTCTTATTAGAGCTGCTGGTATGGTTGGGTGTTAAAAACTCAAACTGGTGTCATTAAGCAGAGTAATTATGCAAAATTATCAAAACGGAATCATAAATATATTAAATCAATTATGTCACCAAAAAAAATATTCTAAAGCTTGCAGTGTTTACAAATAATCAAATAGTAGCAAAGTGTGGGAGTATTTTGTTATTCAACAGCACAAAACCAGCTTTCGAAAGTACTAAACTTTCGCCCAAAAGGAAAATATCAGATTTAAACACTCCACTGCATTGTCAAGACAGTATTTTGTTGTGGAAAGTCGTAAGCGGCTTATTAAATTCAAAATTCAAAGCAGCCTTCCTCGGGTAAAGCTAACAAATTCCTATTGTTAAGATTTCTCGAAAGGACTGTATAAGAAGCAAAGAAAAGCCTGTGGGAAATATTTGAGCGAAGCAGGAATGTTGATTTCATATATATAGAAGTTTGGTATTTGAATATCTGAATTCTTGGCCATTTACCGCAAATCGGCAGATCGAAAAGGTAAAAGAGGAAATTGCCTCCGCAATCGTCCACCGGGAGTTTGATGAGCCATCAAGCTCCCTCTTCAAGATGCATGTGCACCCCCTTCTTAAGCAGAGCAAACTTGCTAAACTATGACTAATACGCCAATATTGCCGATTTGGGGGGCGATCGGGAAAAATAATACGGTTTTGTTATCATATGGGGTGAGATACGTCAGGTTATTGGACGGTGCTGTGTACTTTGTCCAGATTTGAATGGAGCACGGAAAAAAATAGGAAAATATTTGCCAGAGCTAACATAACATTTAATTCCTTCGGTCAATTGCAATAAAATTGAGTCTAGCGTGATCGGAAAAAATTCGTTTCAACAATAACAATTATCAATAATGCTAGGTCATGTACAGTATAATTAAAATTGAACAAAAAACGAAATATTGCCTGAACTGAAGCCAAATTAGATGAATATTAAAATAGCTGAAAAGGACATGAAAGAGAAGGTTTTACAATATACAATGTTAGTGTATGTGCTATAGATTCTAAATACTTCGAAGCTTGTAAAGTGGGTATTTTCATTTTTCAGAAACAACCAAATGTAGAGGCGCAATATCAATTTAATCACAAATTCTCGAGTCGACGGTTCTTCTCAATGACTCCTGCCCATCTGAATAAAATTAACTTTCATAAACTTGTGTTTTACTCATTTATTTAGTTATGTTAGACTTTCCAGTTTTCGGGAGCATAATTTTCATACATTTGGGGCATTTGCATTAGGAATTATTTTTACAAATTAATAAAGACCGTCAAATATATGAGTTTCAAAAAATTACAGAAGATATTTAATTTGGTGGTAGATTAAGGCTCTAGGAGACTATTTTGAAAATGCTGAAAGGATTTAGTATCGACTTAAGTAGATTTTTCAGAGAAATTTCTACATGAATTGATAATGAAATTAATTTGATAGAAATAGAATTATTTGGTTAAAAAAAATCGGTTTTCTTAATCTAACGAATAATAATTAATTCTTCATTTTGTCACTTTTTGACCGACTGTGGAAAACTTTTTGGAAATTTTTGCATGCACTTCTTTTAGTAACACCATGAAACTCTTGAAATCTGAATGATTCAGTAGGAACATATCAAACGTCTGTAATAATTGTATCCTCTACTAAGCTCTACTAAAGCTATTCAAAATATGATGATACATCTTTCAAAAGAAGCATTCATAATTAATACAGATATGTATATTATTTTTGTTAATACAATTTGAAATCAGTGTGTGACAAAAAACTTAGTCCATAGTTCCAGCAAAATAGTCCCTTAAACGAGACCATAAATATTCCCTTAAGAATCAAAACGAAATAAAGCCAAAACATTTTTTTTTATAATTTAACAGAACGTTAATGAGCTTTTTATTTGAAACAAAATTTATCAGATGATAATGGGTTGAGAAGCTTTTTATATAAGCAATTACTTTAAATGCAGTTTTTTGCATTGCATTTTTGGCCTTTTCTGCCAATTTCTTCTTGGCCAAAGGTTTACTCAAGCTGCAAAAAAATCACCAATCTAGAGAATCCGCTAAGTTTTCCTTATACTTGCTCAGGTACTTAAAAATCTGCTATTTCAAATTAATTAGCCATCAATTAATCTAATAAGTCACATAAAAACGGATTTCTTTAGAACGAGAATCTTGACCTGCTGGGGGATTTAAGCTAGAAGAAGCAAACTATATTTATTTTCTGGCAAACCAAACGCTTTTAATGCGTAATTAATTGTGTCGTGCTTTGCAAGCAGAAACATGAAAGGGAAGTTGAGCAGTTTCCATTGTTAACTGGCTTAAAACGTATAATTACTACCGCAATTGATTAGTTTGTATTAGAACCGCGCAATTCAAGGTGTAAATAATTCATATTTGCGCGATCAAATACGAGATAGAAACATCAGTAATACAATGATCTCAGATAAAGTTTCTTTAATAATTGCTTTATTACTTGCTGCTGGTAAAGTAAGTGTTGTTTGAATTGTTTTCGCAGCTGAAACTTCAGGATTTTGCAGGGTTTTCATGTAACCATTAACGATATATCGCAATGCGAAGAAAGTCAGATCGAGCTGGGCGAACTAACTGTCGAAGTATCAAAAGCGCAGCCATTTGATCAAACAGTCACTGGAAAATTGATTCTGCCCATGGCTCTTGATGAGGATGCAGTTTTGGTATGATCGAGTAAAATGACAAATTTGTTAAGTCTAAAATGCACTGGGAGAACCTCACAGTTTTGGAGAAATTTTTATATGAAAACGAAACTTTTTTTCCAATAGTTTTTCCCCTATTTTCCACATTATTGACGACTTCAATGATCCAACAATGAATCAGTAGCTTTAGGGTTTCTGCTACTGGTCATTAGCAAACCATTGCAAAGCTACAAAAGAATTTATAAATATTACACCAAAGAAATATAAAAATTATAAAAAAAACTAGCATAAAGCACTATAGCAAATAACTCTCGTTTCTCGCCAGTCAAAACCAACCACCTTTGCTTCATTCAAATTAATAAAATGAAGATAAAATGCTGGAAAAGTTCATAAAATCCGTCAGAATGCCCATGCATACGTTATATACTTTTTATACGTTTGTATATTGGAGAACAAACTCCTCCTTCTTCGAAAAGTCCGGAGCAGCATTTTGGTGCAATTTCTCACAATCATCCTGTATTGCAACAAAGTAAAGGTCATTCGAAATTCAGAAAAAATGTGCAATTAAAAAAAAATGAAAAAAGAAGAAAATAAAGCAAAGTAAAGACTTGGTTTTAAGAGTTTTAGTGCAGACTAAATTTGGAGTACCTAACTAATAGTACTAATAATAACGACATTAAAGAACAAATTTTTAAACTTCCATCCATCTTTTTATTGCTGTTGCTATTCGTCAGAATATTTTTGGACCATTTAGTAACAGAAAATGTGCAGTAAAGTACTTAAAACAGTTAAGATAAATCATCGTTATTTCAAGTCAAAGGAAACGACAAAGAAACTGGAGGAAAAACAACAAAATTAAAACACTTAGCGACTTGACAGAATAGCGGATGCTCCATTAAAGACAAAGCAGTTCTGAAGCAAAAATGCTACTGAAAAACCAGCTAGAATGCTTTGGTTTTCTACCAACTGAGGAAAGTAGCCTCTTAAAACAATAAAAAAGCCCTAGATAATTGATAAACATTTTTATCAACAAACAATGCTAACCACAAAAACAGTCGGGTTTTTTAGTAAAAATCTTGAATCAAAGCTAAGATCAATAATTTAATTATCCAGGCATACAAAGCGGAGTTTTGGGATCAAAACCTGCAAACTTGGAAAAAACTCTACATTGGACAACGATCAGTTTGCGAGTCCTTAGTGAAATCAATACCATATGGAAACTTTGCAGATGAAACCAACTTTCCCAGCAAATGTCCAATACCACAAGTAAGTATGAAAATAAACAACAATTTGTGTATTCAAAATCACAAAACTTTTAGGGTGTTTATGAGTTACATAACGTCCCAATAAGCGGTCAATATGTGGTATTCAACACAATTAATGGCGTGGCACCTTTGGTCAAACATCATTTGGCATTACTCCAAGCTGGACAACTGATTTTATGCAGAATTATAACAACTTTATCTCATGAGGAATGAAAAGTGTAAATGAAAGTATTTTAACCTTATAAAAACGCTCTTATTTAATAAAGCCTCCTAAATAAGTGTTACTTTGTAAACTACTCAAGCAGATTGAAAAGTTCTCCTGCTAAGAAAAAATCCCTGTAACTTTACCAGTCACTACAAGTGAATGTATGTGTCTTTTGAAGCGGCATTGCAAAAAATACCCAATGTTTTGGAAAGTTTGGCTCGAATTTTCATGATTCCAAACTAAGCAGATATATTTTTCAAATAGGATGGAAAAATCGAAAAGCAGATTGATTTTCATCCCCTATGCAAGAGTATGCCCAGTATGTAAAAACCTCTTGCATATGCAATTCATTAAATTAGCTCCCCGGAATTACATATCGAAAACGAAATTAGCCGACCTTAATTAGCTTTATTGGATTGGTGCTTTGATGAAAATTACACCCCATCCAGTCCAACACAGCGCAGACGGACAAAGGACTCAGAAATTGCCGGTAATGTTGTTAGGCAAAATGTGGTTACAGTGTTACATGTTCAATTTGGCCGTGGTTACACATGGGTACCGTGCAAATGGCATTTGTCTTTGTCTCGTGCCAGCCTCGATGACAGCACATTGGTATCGGTTGCCCTCATTCAATCAAAGATCGATTGCGAATTAAATTCTCATAATTTACGTATAATTGGCTAGCATTAAGGCGCATAGCACGTGAATATATTACTAATTAAAACACGAAGTCGCACACAAAGCAATTAAGATTGAAAATACGCAATTAACAACTAAGGTTGAAGACTCTACACGATTTGAAATAACTCTTCTTCTAATCTAATTTGATTAAGTTGAAGAAAACTGGGTTATTCAATTTTGAATTTGTAATGTAATTTTCAATAACTGCATACAGAAATCGTTGAGTTGTTCAATGGTTTATTTAAACCAGACTTCCTTTGTTGCCTTCTCTAAACCAGTAAACCAGAGCCTGGCTGGTATATAAATTATCCGATTGTGTTTCGACTCGAAAAACTCCCTACTTCCTCGTAAATCCGCTTCACCTTTGTGCGATTTAGCTTGTAACTCAGTTTCTAGTGGGGTTTCAGTGTAAATGATAATTTCGACAACTCAGTCTAATCAACGTGTCGAAACTTTTAATAGGAGCTTATTCAGCAGATCCAAAGAGAGAAGCAAATTAGTAACCGTATTACTTTGGAAGGTACTACAAAATTTAATTGGAGTTTATTTACATTTATTATTATTTATTATTATTTTTTTTACATTTATTTATGATAAGTCTTGAAAATTTAAAATACCTAAATCAGGATTTGTTCTGATGTGGCTGAATTTTCTTGAAGAATTAGTCGGGTTCAATGCTTGTATGTGCACAAAATTTCAACCTTTTGACTGATTTGGTTTGGAAGTTCGAAATTTTGTTGTTCAAGCATGCAGAAATTTGAAACTTCTCGGAGTGATTGTTAATTTTTTTTCAAAAATCCGTGTTTTCGCTTTCGTCCTCTTTTTCCTTCAATGGATATAATGAGGCATCGACAGTATTTGATCAAAAGGTCAGGCTTTTGCATAAAGTAATTTGGAAGTTGTGATTTTTTATATCGAAACGTATCATAATGGTGGCAATTTAATTGCTGGTGCGGGAATTTATTCGAAAATCAATGTTTAGTCTCACCAACGCTTATTTATCATCATCGGAATACTAAAGTTTTTTCTGTGTGTGTCCAAACTTTTTTTTTTTTTTTATTATTATTTAATCTACTACTAACTTAATCTACTACTTTAAAAAACACAAAGCACACACATCCTCCGATAGTCACTCTGTCCGTAATATTATAGTACATCGGTTTGACATGTACTCT